GATTATATAATCTCAGGAAGTGATAAATCCAATGAAGAAAAATAAAGGCTAGTAATAGAGCATAATGGAAGAGACATTCCCCTCCCCAGTGGAAGGCTTTTCAGGATGAAATGGGTCGATTTGAAAGTACTGAGGGAAATCACCACCCATCATCACGAATGAACCAGTATTTATTCCAATACTGTTTCTTAAGGATTGTCGGTTATAAGCCTCAGATTCTCTAAGAAACCTAAGAGAATGGAGTTCCTGAGTCAGAAGCACACCTAAACCAGAACCTCTGGCGCTGGAGTTCAGGACTCTGCATTTTCAACAAGAGCCTGATGCATCTTTGGACATCTTTGCCCTAAATCCTGGTTTATTGTCCTTATCACATCCCTCACAGTATGTCTTGTAATAGGATGGATTCAGGGCAGATGTTTAGCAAAGACTCAGTCAAGTGGTCCGTCAAGCAGACCCGCAGATCAACTACATTTCTTGATTTGTGAATCTCCCGATCTGGCCAAGGCAAGATCAGTTTGGAAGTGAGTTCGACCTTTGATAACTGCCTGTGGCAGATGGATTCAGGGCAGATGTTTAGCAAAGACTCAGTGAAGTGGTCCGTCAAGCAGACCTGCAGATCAACTACACTTCTTGACTTGTGAATCTCCCATTCTGGCCAAGGCAAGGTCAGTTTGGCTCATTCTTGGAACTGAACAGTCTGGGCCCCAGGAAGGGCTTCCAGGCTGACCTGAACCCTGAGGGACACGTACTATGCTCACCTTTCAGAGCTTGACATCCCCAGGCGAAGGTGACCTACTGCACACTTAAGCCTGCCACCACACCCAGGATCTTTATTGTTCCATTGAAGTCCACCCTTCACCTTGAATAATGCGTGAGTGCTTCCTGAAGTCACACTGTCTGATTGTAATCTTAATCTTGCCCAAGTGCCGTGTGCCTTTGAGCAAGTTACTTAATTCACCTGTTACTCAGTGTATAGTTAAAATGTCTGTCTCAAGTTTGTTGTGAGAAGTAGATGTAGTTCAAATAGTGCCTGCCAAACAGGCAATTAATGAAAGTAGTATTATTCCTAGTGAGGGCAGATCTCTTTTCCTCTCATTTTTTGGGTCGTCATTATCTCCAGTTATCACTTTTCCATGAAGCCTATAGGTGTCAATTTTCATCATTGGCTCCCCTTACAACTGGCGTCTGACCAATGTCATCCACCCCTGCCTTACTCCATTCCACCCTGGCTCCTCCCCATTCTCAAATATCTCCCAAGACTGGAAGTCCTCCTGTGTTTTGTTCATGGTCTGATCGCCACCTCTTGACATCTAGGCTCCTATAAACTTCGTTGGTCATCCAAAGTCTACTCAGGACTTCAGCTCACAGGGTCTTCTCTGCCCTACGGAACTGCACGTCCTGTATAATGGTCACCCCCGTGGTGCTCTTTCTAACTGCTTACGGGCCCTGCCATCTTTCCGTTTTGCCCCAAAGTACAGATTACAGCACGTGCCACATTTGGAACAGTGTCGTTGTCCCAAAACAGAACGGACAGGCTAGGAAGTTACCAGAAAGTGGTTTCACACCGTAGGCAACCTGATAGCCTCTGTCATCCTATGACCAGAACTCCAACATTGAGTGGCACTTTAAGGGCCCAGTAGATCAGAAGCGGCCTCAGCAACACCTAGAGAGGGGCCTTTGACCGAGGTTACCAGGATGGTAATAATTTCGATACTGCCTGTGGCGTCTTGAGAAGCTCAGCATCACATGGGGTGGGTTCTGAGCGGGGCTGCGGAGTGTGGCCCTGTAAGGCGACTGAAAAGCCATTCTGGGGACTTCTGGTTCCGTCACTGGGGAATCTTGGCTTCAGTAATCTGCTCTTTGGCAGTCAGTGCTACTGAGTGCAAGAAGCCATTAATGACCCAGGATCTGACTGTCAGAGTTTGTTATTTGCCTGGGCTCTGTGATTAAGAACTGGAGTGGTCAGTGTCTGTCTTGTCCCTGATCACGATTTACTTGGTGGCTCAGATATGGGGAAGCGTCGGGGCGAATGGGAAGGGTATTAGTGAATCCATACCGGAGAGAAGCCCTATGGATGCGATGAGTGTAACAAAGCCTTCAGTCATAAGTCATGCCTCATTGCACATGCAGGATTTCGCACAGGACATGCTTGAGTGTGCAGTGAATGTGGAAAAGCCTGCTTTTAGAAGTCACGTCTCACTAGACATCAAAGAAGTCATACAGGGTAGAAACCATATGGATGCAGTGACTGTGGGAAGGGCTGCGCCTTGAAGTGAATACTCAGACATCAGAGAATCCACGTAGGAGAGAGACCCTATGTTTAGAGTGATTTGGGGAAAAGCCTCCTCATTGCAGCAATTGCTGTTCCTTTGCTTTTCCAGTCTTCTCATTGGTAGCTGGAGGTGAGTGTAGATAAGAGGCACAGTAATTCAGCAGGTGGGAGTGAGGCCAGGTAGTAGATGGTATGCGGGGAGGGGTCAGCATGGCAGGATTCTGCAGACAGAGTAGGATTACCAACCAGGTGAAGGTGCTTCTTAGCCTAGTGGCTCCTCTCTGTCATTGGCTGAAAAAGTGTCGTTTTGTTTTAATGGCTATAGCACCTGGTCTTCCTAGGTGGTCTCCCATCCCAGTACTAACCAGGCCCGACCCTGCTTAGCTTCCGAGATCAGACGGGAGATCAGACATGTTCAGTGTGGCATGGCCGTAGACTGAGACAGTTAAATCAGCTTCTTCATGTGAAACTGAAGGCATCTCTGTCATTGGCTGAAAAAGTGTCGTTTTGTTTTAATGGCTATAGCACCTGGTCTTCCTAGGTGGTCTCCCATCCCAGTACTAACCAGGCCCGACCCTGCTTAGCTTCCGAGATCAGACGGGAGATCAGACATGTTCAGTGTGGCATGGCCGTAGACTGAGACAGTTAAATCAGCTTCTTCATGTGAAACTGCCCACAGGCGGGTAGGAGTCTCCCAGCTAAAGGGTCATTTCGTCTTTTGACTCACTGTGTGATTTAGGCTCAGTCCTCACCCCTCTGATCCTTGTTTTCGTAGGCTTTGTGAACAAAGGAAGCAGGCTGTCTTAGGGAGCTTGTTAGTCTGACATGTGGGAGTCACAGGACGGAACATAAAAAAAATTTATGCCCCCACTTTTACTCTGCTCATCGGGCTTCTGATGCCAGCATTTCCCCATCTTGTAGGCAGAACAGTCCCGCCTCCACACGCTGGCCTCTAACATTGACTCTCCCTCCCACGGTCCCAGGGGCATTCTTCTTACCTCTTTGTTTTTTTAATTACTTAATTTTATTTTTTTACCCTAGTCCAAGACACTTAACTAATCCTGATTTGTTTCTAAAGGGATTATCCCTTTAACCACAGTAAACTAAGAATACATCTTGTACTTGTCACACATGCCCACATTCTCTTTTGCTTAGAAAGAAGTGTTTAATGCTAGAGCGGTTTCTTTCCCACTGGGGTCTGCCGCTCCTGCTTCCAGAACAGCTGCAGACCAGTAGGTGTGGAATCAGCTCATCTTTCTTGGTCCAGGTCCCACCACTACCCCTACAATCTGTGCCACCTCACTCTCCCTAATCTCCACTGTCTGTACCACTTCGGCTTTTCCAGATCTGTGCTGTGCTCTAAGGCTTTCTCCACCCAAAACCATTCCTAATTTCTGCTCCTGCAAAGGATAAAAATTCTCAGCCGTAGGGACACTTACATCTCCTTAAAATGGTGCACCCACATGCAACAAAAGACACTCAGTGGACATGGCCGACGTAAGTCTTGGTCCTATATAGTGACTGGGAAGAGGATAGCGCTGCGTTATTGGAGTGGCCACGTCCACTGTGCTATTGCTGGTACTTGGGGAGATAAAAGTCTCATGTCCACAGGAAAGGGCTACCTTCTCTGTAGGGCATACCTTCAGAAAATGGCTGCTCCGCAGGGGTCCGTTATATTTTCTTCCCAATGGCCCGAATGTTCAGAATCCTGGTCCCTGGAGGCTCCTCATGTGACCCACAGTTATTATCCACTCAGAGGTGCTACTGAATCTTCGAGAGGAAGAGCTGGGGCGGTTGTCAGGCAACCCGTATCCAAAAGTAGCTGGCGGAAGCCTGCTGGAGGAGGGGAAGACTCTAATACGCCCTTTTACGTGAATGTTGGGGAGAATCAGCTCCCCACTGGAAGCCCGTTTATACCCTCACCCCACTGCCAGACTGAGGAACACGTTAATAATTCCCTAAAACTCAGCTCACTTCACTTCTTCAGTACAATTTAATTGGATGCCCTCAAATAGAATTTCTCTTTCCTTTATTTGTGTATCCATTTTGCCCTAAGATACAGCTTTGGTAGCGTCTCTAACTTTTTACTGCATTTGCAGACTCCAGTTTGTCTCTCTGTGTAAGACAAGCCTTTTGACATTAAGAAATTGTTTGGCTTATCAGTTATCACAGGAACTATATACAGTGCCAGATGAACAGATTGTCAAAAATATATACTGAAGATGGAGTCTAGGTAAGCCAGAGATTTTAAAGTCGGCTTATTCCATTTGACACTTGAGAACAAGAAAATGAGTAGTTATTAATACTATATTTTTAAAGATTTTACTTTCACACACAAAAATTACAACTGGATCTATAGAACGTGGCCCACAGCACGTTTGGTGGAAAGGATCACATCTTATTGCTCTTTCTACATGACCTTATGACATAAACCTCAGACTGAATAGGTTGTGTGATTAAGGGCTCGTTGTCTTTCAAGGATGTGGCTGTGGACTTCACCTGGGAGGAGTGGCAGCTCCTGGCCCCTGCTCAGAAGGACCCGTATGGGGATGTGATGTTGTGGAAACCTGGTGTCAGTGGGTGAGAAGATCTGCCTTGTGTCACTCCGAGCACACCCTGCCCATTGTGTTTCTTCTTTTAGTTGCTGAAAGTGTCTGAAGTGTTGATTCATTTTGGCCTTCAGTTTTTTAGGTCATTGACTCTTCACTGCCTCTCTCCATCCAAACAGAATATATGCTCTTCTTTCCAAGAGAAAGGGTCGTACTCTTCCAGGGTGCAAATTTACAGTCCCTTAAGTGGGATTTTCTCCTTTCTTCAGATACAGCCACCCTCCCCCATCCCTGACCCCCAGCTGAAGAAATTAGGTCCAATTTCTCTGTGGTTTCTCCTTCATCACAGGGTATCAAGTTAACAAACCGGAGGCCCTTCGGGTTGGAGCAAGAATCATGGAGAGCACTGCTGAAATCGGATGTGGTTGTTCCCTTTCTGGTCAGATCTCAGATACCCGGACTGTTGCCAGTGGTCTAGCTGTTTACTGTGCCACTCGGAAAACTATAGACTGGTAGGTTACGGACACCCCTCTTTCGGGCTTCGAACTGTGAAAACTAATTGCAGTGCTGAAATAAGTGCCTGTATCATCACATAGATGCCCATGGTAGGGCCCCGTTCTCGGAGAATCTGACCAGAGTCAAGTTCCTGATTAAATCGGTTTCTGATTCAGAGGTCACCTCTGTGTGGCGCATCTGTGGCTTTTTATTCAGCTTTGAAGTATAACTGACAAATGATACTTTAAGATATTTAAAGTGCATCCTTAGCATGGACATGGATGATACACTGGGTGGGGGGGAGGTAGTCAGGGTGAAAGGGTCAAATATGTGGTGACAGAAAGAAATCTATGAGAGGTGAACATATAATGTAGATATATATGCCTTACTGCTAAAATGTACAGCTGAAACTTGCTGGATTTTGTTTACCAATGTCACCATAAAAAAAATAATTTTTTTAAAAAAGTGCGTCCTTAGCTGAGAGCTGTAGTCTCAGTGAGCTCGTATTGGGGGGGAGAGTGGGGGTAGATCCTGGGAATATGGAGGTCAAAGGTCGACACTATAGTCAAAGCCACCACCACCACCACCACCACTCCCCTTTTTAATGGCGGTAGTTTCCTAACTAGAAACATGGGTAGGGGGGTCTTTGGAAAAGACGCTTGGGCTATTCGGACCTGTCCAGGAGTCCTACTCAGGATCACCCTTCACGAGGCAGAATGAAGGAGGCAGGTGCACCTCAGGCCTCCCCAACCCCATTCCTCCGTCAGGACGGTCCCAAGACTGCCAGTCGGGGGCTGTGTTGCGTGAGGCTGGAACAGAAATTTGTCTGCCCAGACTCTGCTCCCAGTGTGGGGGAAAAAGACTCCCAAACTAGTCACAGCCCTAAAGAGGGAGGGAGGGACAGCGAGAGGGAGGCTAGTGACTCCGTGGGCTTGAGAGCCAATCCTAAAGAGAGGCGAGGAAGGGGAGACATTTATGTAAAGATCTGACAATTCAAAAGTTCTCCCAGGAGGAGGTACGGTTTGGGCAAAGGCTCGTTGGAACGAAAAAGCGTGATATACTGAGCGGGCTCTAATTTCCAGGACCGCTCACGTATGACAAGGGGAGGTGGGCAATGTGCCTAGAGGGTTCCGGGATCCGATTCCCAAAGGTCCTGAAGGCCAGCCCGAGGCGCTTGGTTTCGAATCTAGACACTCAGGCAAGTCGCCACACTTCTCTGGGCCTCCGCACAATAAGTCACAAATCAAAGATTCACGCCCTCCTCCTCCGGCACAAACGTGCGGAGTCCACCTGGCCACTGCCTCAGAGCTAAAACTGCAGATTGTCTTGGTCCCCAGGTGACGTCACGTATTCCTGGCGACGCACGCGCAGAAGCTTTCTCCAGGACTCTCCGAAGGGCAGGCGTCTCCGCCTCCCAATCCTGCCCCTCATTGGCTGGAAACAACTGCTCGTCTCCGTCGTTGTTAGTGACGACGTAGGCGGGCACAAACTCGGTCGCTAAGATACCACGGACTTCCGTTTCCTTCCTTCCGTTCTTGGCTCCGGCAGATCTCACAGCGTCCCTTCGACCAATGGCAAACGGGCAGTGGGCGGGATTTCACTTGTCCGGACCAAAGAAACGCTGGCTCGCCCGGCGCGGGGCGGCCAGTGACCGTGGGCCAGCCCCTGTGAAGTGGCTCGGGCGCCCCCACGCTCGCGCGCCCGCCTCCTCTCGGCCCTGCCCCTCCCCAGGCCAAATTCAGCACCGTGCTGGTCGCCGTCCGACCGGAACGGGACGGAGCCAGGATGGCGGCCGCCGACGGTGACGACTCGCTCTACCCCATCGCGGTGCTCATAGACGAGCTCCGCAACGAGGATGTGCAGGTCCGGAGGCCGCAGGGGACTCGGGCAAGGCGGGAACGGGGGCCCGGGGGCGCGGAGGGCCCTCGCGGAGAGGGCTCGGTGTTCGCGGGGAGGGGTGGGAGGGGCGGCGGCCAATCAGCGGCCCGCTCTCATCTCCCCGAGGCCGCGTACTCGATGAGACGGCGCCCGGGATTGGGTGCGGCGGGGCCCGGGGTCCCGGGCCTGCCTGGTGGCGCGCGGTGGCCCGGGGCCTAGGGGGGCGGCAGGGAGAGGGGCGGCTTGGGGACGGGCGGCGGCCCCTGAGCGCCCCATGGCGACGGGGAGGGCGCAGAAGGGACGCCTGCTTGGTGGGGATCGCGGTTCGCTTTCACCTTTCTGGGTTTCGGCCGCGGGGCGAACACCGCAGACACCGGGGCACCGAAGCGAAGGCTGCCCTCCCACTGCCCTCTCTTCCCCTCCGGTTTTGGCGTAGCCCCCGGAAGGGGGCGAAAACGTCCCACCTGCAGGGGGCGTCTTGTTAAATTTGGAGTGAATTAGAGGTGGAAACCCGCCCCGCTTCTGGGATCCTCGCACGGTCTCGGGGGCGTGCCGTTCCCGAACGGGCTGACACCTCACCGGTGAGCGGGAGAGGGGGGGGCCCGGGGCCCGGCCGCCCCGGGATCGGGGTGAGTCAGGGCTCCGTGCGTCGCCCTCCCCAGCTGCACCTCCCATCCGCCGTGAGACCTCGCGCAAATTACTTCACCGCCCCGGGCCTCTGTTTTCCATAAATGTGGGCCGATAATAGGCGCGGTCTCTTTGAGGGGCGTCGGGGGACTGAACGAGTTAATAACACACGTGGAATAGACCCGGCGTCTGGCCCGTTTTAAGGGCTCAGTAAATGTTAGCTGTAATTATCGGCTGTGCTGACTGAAGCGGTCCCATCGTCCCTTTGGGCTCCAATTTCCCTCTTTATAGGATTTAGCCGGTTGCCTGGGCCCAGCCTCAGATTCCGGGTGTATCACCCTGGTTCTGGAGTCAGACAGGCCGCGGTTGTTCGCTTGGGCTTCCACTCGCTGATTGACATGGGCAGGTTAGTTAAGCTCTCCAATGCTTGCTGTCCTGTTCTCTCCAGCGGAGCTCATTGTCAAGTTCATAGGGCTGTTGTATTAACCCATCTGTTAAGTGAACACCCGCGCCACATATCAGGTGTGGTGCTGAAGATGTAATGATGGTGACACTGCTCTACAAGAGACAGACGTGAAACCGAGCTGACTATGTCATTGACACGTGTGAGATGTATTGGGAAAGAAACAGTAGGATATTGTGATAGTGAATCAGCCCATATTTGGAGGGCTTCTGCTCTGTGTAGGGCAGGGATCCCCAACCCCCAGGCCGTGGACTGGTACTGGTCCATGGCCTGTTAAGAACCGGTCTGCACAGCAGGTGTCCGGCGGGCAGGTGAGCAAAGCTTCATCTGTATCTGCAGCCGCTCCCCAGCGCTGGCATCACCGCCTCAGCTCCGCCTCAGATCATGAGGTGTTAGATTCTCATAAGAGCACCTATTCCTGGTCCAAAAATGTTGGGGTCCGCTGTAGGCACAGATAGGCAACAGGGAACGAGTCGGACAAAAACTCTTGGCCTCGTGGAGCTTAGGTTTTAGGGGAAACGATAAACAAGACAAGGACAGTACGATGTGTTGTGTGTTAGATGGGGATGAGAGGGGTTCGGGGTGCAGTTGTAAAGAGTGGTCAAGGGCGGGCTTGCCGAGGTGACGTTTGAGCAGAGACCTGAGACGTGCGGCACGAGGTGGGGTGAGGAAGGTGTGCTTTAAGTAGGCCGGTCAGGGAGGGCTCTGAGGGCACAGGGTTCAAGGTGCGATGAGAAGAAGCCCGCTTCAGGAAGAGGGTGGGGAAGAGCCTTCGAGCAAGAGAGAGCAGGCAGGCCATGGCAGTAGTTCTCGGCCCATGGTGATTTTGCCCTCCAGGAGCCATTTTTGATCGTCACCACTGGGGAAGTGTTACTGGCATCTAGCATATAGAAGTCAGGTAGGCCTCCACACCTACAGTGCACAGACAGCCCCACAGCCAAGAATCATCTGCCCAAAATGTCCAGGATGGGGTCGAGAGGAGCCCTGTTATGGGCAACTCCTGAAGCAAATTTAGTGGCTTAAAAGAACACCAGTGTATTGTCCTACAGTTCTGGGGGTCAGAAGTCCGACACGGATCTTGCCAGGCTGAGATCAGGGGTCGACAGGGCTGCATTTCTTTCTGGAGGCGCTAGGGGAGAATGTCTCCTAGCCTTTCGCAGCTTCCAGAGGCTGCCAGCGTTCTTGGCTTGAGGTCCCTTCCTCCATCAAAGGAAAGTCTAGGCCTAGAGGGGACACGCAGGGGCTTGTGTCCTGGGTGGAAGTAAAATGCATTTCCAAACCTGGCTCGACCACTTTGTGAGTTTTGTTGTTTGTTTGTTTGTTTTTACCACTCCACCCTCTGGGCCTTGATTTTCTTATTAAGTGAAAAAAAGGAAGGAAGACACACCTGGCTAGGTCGCTGTGAGGATGAAGCGGGATGTAAAACTATGTAAAGAAAGACACAGTTACTAGCCACTGTTGAAGACCTTGCAACAGCGTCCCCGTGTCCACACCTTAGAAACAGGACGTTCCAGGATCGGCTTCTTTTTATAGAGCGTCTAGGGACTTGGTGAAGCAGAGCTTAGAAATCAAGTTGCCCTCTGAGAGTTTAAACCAAAAAGGATAGTGGTGAAGAACATGGGGTCAAGTTCCAAACTGTGTCACGAATTCTCCAGGCGACCTGCGTCCCCGTCTCTGCGCCTTAGTTTCCTCCTCTGTGAATGAACAGAGGCGGTGTGCGCCTCATGGTTTTGTTAGAAGAATTACATGGGAGAACATGTGTAAAGCTCCAAGCTTTGACATAGGAAGCACTTCTTAAATGATAATCGGGCTTTTAAAAACTCGAAAAATGTTTATATTTATTTTTCACTGTGCCCGGTTAGTAACGGTCTTTCTTCATCTCAGAGACAAGTCACCTTCCAAATGGAGGGACAGGCGTGTCCGTAGATAATCATAGTGGCAGGCAGCGGGATGAGCGGTTTGCGTTGGTGCCGCAGTTTCCAAAGCGGTGGGGATGTCACTTTTTTCCCCAAACGCTGCAGAAATGGAGATCGCGATGTCTGTTTTCACTCTCGAGCAACACAACAGTGACGAAGCGGGCGCTTGGTTTCCCGCACCGGCACACACGTGTTCATTTAAAAACGTGTTCCTTCGTGGAATTAAGAGGAAGGCCGCGTGGCCATCGGGACTTTATAGGAGGCGGAGAGACGCTTCTGTCACTCGCTGGGCGAAGATGGGTGCTTTGGGGATGTGTTCTCCTGGGCTGGGGGTTTCACATGCACAGCTGAAAGCCAGGGGTTTGCGTGCAGCAGGGTAGCCGGTGCAGGAGCTCGGCCCGGGGCCCCCCGAGGTCCTGTTTCTGTCAGGGAGGTGAGTTTCGGGCCCACCTCAAGCCCAAGGAGTCCAGAAACCCAGCGATACTGCGCAGAGATGTTTGCGTTCGTGTGAGGAGAAGCCGCATAGCCCTTCCTCACATTCTCCTTATTGTCCGTGTTCCAAAGAGACCCTCAAACCCCCGCGTTGGGGGTTTAAGGGTCACCCGCACACCTCTTCGCAGTTGCGGGGGCCCAGGGGAGGATAGGCTGAGAGAGCCCCCAACCCCTCGCCCTGCCTCTTCCAGGAAGCCGAGTCCCCCCTGCGCCGGTCAGTGGCTTACTCACGAGGGCGTTTCCTGTCACACAGGTGATCTCATTGCATTCTGGTGACAGCCCTGCTAGCTGGGGAGGGGAGGCCCCGTTGTTGCAATGGAAAGACAAGGCGGAGGCGGCACAGTCAGCCAAGTAATCACAGCCGGGTCGGAGTCCCCGCCCTCGCAGCGCTCCCTGGCTCGGGCCTCTGTCCGCAGTGCTGAAGGAGGGTGTCGGCTGTGCTTCCTCCCTCCCTGGGACCAGGGGCCCGGGTGAGGTCCTCATTCGTAAACGCTCAGCGCCAGGCCTGTCTGCGTGTGCATGTGCACGTGAGCCAGACGCATTCGTTTCCCGTGGCTGCTACAATGAAGCACCACCAATGTGGTGGCGTAGAGCCACGGCAATGTATTCTCTCCAGGCCAGAAGTTTGAAATCGGGGTGTCAGTCGTGTTGGTTTCTTCCAGAAGCTCTGGGGAAGATCATTTCATGCCCCCTTCCCAGCTCCTGGTGGCTGCCGGCAACTCTTGAGGGTGCCGAGCGTGCACGATGGTCTTGAGCACAAGATGAGGTGAAGTCAGAGGAGGGGCAAGCGGGGACAGGGGGGCTGCAGTTTTGCACAGAATGGTCTTGGACAGTGCCGCCGGGCAGGTGGCGGCCCAATGAGCCCCAGAAGGTGCTCTGCTGAGGCCGGTGCTCCCGGCACAGCTTAATCACTCGAGGTCTCGGGCACTTGGTGGGTGTCGCCGAGTTGTTGTCTGGCACCCTCACGCACACCTGGTTCCGGTGCCGTCTGGGCTCACTGACGTCCCCCTCCTTTTCTGTTCTCGTTAGCTCCGCCTCAACAGCATCAAGAAGCTGTCCACCATCGCCTTGGCCCTCGGGGTGGAGAGGACCCGCAGCGAGCTTCTGCCCTTCTTGACAGGTAAGCCCAGGTGCATGTGGCCGTCAGGGTGGTTTCTGCAGGCGGGGGGCCTCGTGGGGGATCTACGTGGTTGGTTCGTCACTGTCCCCTGTGCTGGGCACTGAGGTGGGGCCACGGGTTCAGAGGAGGGGACGTCCAGCCCCGCTCTGAGGGAATGCTCTGGAGCGTTGGGGCAGGGACTGAGAAGGGGTCTGGCGGAGGGTAGAGCCAGTGCGAACTGCAGCTCCACCGTTAGACGCTGGTGACTTTAGGTGTCACTTATTTCTCTGTCCGTGTTATGCGTAAAGGGGGGCGATCGTCCACGTGCTATGGCGTTGATGTGAACATTAAATAGTAATCATCGCCAGCGCCAGCCATGTTCCGACCCCTTCCTTCGGGGACCGAGTTCACTCGCGTAGAGTCCTCGGACCGGGGCCTGTGTGCAGTGCACGCAGGTCACCACCATTATCTGACATAAGCCCCCAGCGCTTCCTACGGTAGGTAAGGCTATTGCCCCCATCTTGTGGATGGGGAAACTGAGGCACGAAGAGCAGAAGTAACCTCTTTGCCCGAGGTCATGCAGTTGGGAGGTGACCCAAAGGGCATATTTTTGTGGTCATGCTGGCCCCAAACTCACAGCATTGGTTATTGCCTCGGGCTCCCGACCACCTGAGTTCAAATGCACACTCTGCCACCTCGCAGCCGTGTGACCTTGGTCGCGGTGTTTCACATCTGCCGGCCTCTGGCTGTTCGTGTGCTACATGGGCACAGTATATAACCCGAAAGGAGGGTTCGGTAAGGTTAGAGGAAGGCGCTGTGACGGGGCCCAGCACGTGGCAGGTGCCGCACAGGCGTCAGTGAGCGGCCTGCTCTGAGCTCCTGTCTGTGAAGGTGGGTGCGGGGCACTTAGCGCAGCGTGTGACGCCAGTGGCTACTAAGTCTTCTCTTCCCGTTATTCTTATCAGGACTCCGAACTTAACACTAATTAAAATGGCAGCTGAAGCCTGGGTCACACAGTGCGTTGTCACTAATGAACGCTTTCGTGTCCGGTCCTCTTACACCCCGTTGGCCAGAGCGTGGGCTTGTGGCCATGCCACCTGCGGGGGAGCCTGGGCAGTGTCTGGCTGGATCCCCACAGGCCTGGCCTAACCCATCTTCCGATTAGAAAAAGTGCAGCTCGCCGCCAGCGTTAACTTAATTTTACGTAAGCACGCTCTTTGAGGCTGAAGCAAATCTGACCTGGTTTTCATTGTGAAAATAAAATACCGATGCTGTTCTTGGAGTCATTTTGAACAGAAATTGTCTCTAATTCTAATGTAACAGAAGAGTGCACATAAATCGGTTCATCAGATGAATCTTTGGCTAATGACTGTTCGTGAATGATGCTAACATCACAGGTAGCAACGCTGTGGGTTCTAGGATTTGACATTTTCAGCAATCAAGAATTACTGTATTTTTTAAATGGAAATGCCACTAAAACACTATAAATCGAACGACGTCATTTGTTTGCAAAGACCATCAGTGTACTAGAGCGGCGCAGAAATAATAATAAAAGCGAGATACTTCGTGGCAGGTTTGGGGTCAGGTTAGGACTGCGCTCCGCAAGTTATCTCGGGGTAAACGCTGCGGCCGCCAGCACCGCTGGCCGGTGTCCCCGGGGCATCGGGAAGTGGGTTACACCCCAGGGATGTCAGCGCCTCCTGCTGTGGAGGGCAACAGTTCCCAGCGCCTCAGGGAAGATGGGACCGAGTTGGAGGGGAAGGGATGTCCTGGCATCAGGACAGAGCGTTCTCAGCCGTTCGATCAGCAGCCCCATGTCTAGCAGGATCTGGGGTGCAGAGAGGAGCCGGTCTGGGGAGCTTAATGAGAAGGACTCTGATAAACGCGTAGGAGGAGGGGACCCAGGGTAGGGACCGGCCGGGTCTGCTCGGGACTCTTGCAAGAGGCAGTAGCTGAACGAGTCTCGCAGGCGGAGCAGAGTCCCTCGGGCCAGAGGGGAGGACGTTGTGGCACAGAGAGCAGCGCTGAGGGTGGCAGCCAGACCAGGGCGGGACGCTCCTGTTTCCGGGGCTCCGCCTCGTGCACGTGCTCCGTTTGCTCCTCCCTGTGACCCCGCTGAGGTGGACAGTGGTGAGCAGCATGTGACCAGCGCAGAACCAGGCTCAGAGAGGTGGTCTTGCTCACCCAGGCAAGCGCAGATGCAGGACTTGGTGCGTCATTCGGCCCAGCCGCAGAACCAGGCTCAGAGAGGTGGTCTTGCTCACCCGGCATCCCCCACCCAGGCAAGGGCAGATGCAGGACTTGGTGCGTCATTCGGTCCAGCGCTGCGCCTTGATCCCTGTGCTGGTCCAGCGGGAGGGACGGGGCCGGGAGGGCCAGCAGCCCGAGGGAGCGGAGGGAGGCTGGAAGGAGGCTGCTGGTTGCCAGCGTGGGTTCTGGGGGGCGGGATTGGATGCGGGGGGCCTGGAACAGCCTGTCTTGGTTCCGCAGACACCATCTACGACGAGGATGAGGTCCTCCTGGCGCTGGCGGAGCAGCTGGGAACCTTCACCACCCTGGTGGGAGGCCCCGAGTACGTGCACTGCCTGCTGGTGAGTCTGGGGGGCGGGGGCCCTCGCCAGGCCCTGAGGGTCAGAGCAGTGGCCCTGCCAGCCAGGGCCAAGGAGGGAAAGATGTCACGGGGGCCGGGAGTCCCCTTCTCAGAACATGGGGACCTTGGACATTCACTTGAATCCATCAAGTCAGTAATTGCATCTAATACAGCAGCACTGAAAACGCAGCTGTCCTCGCCATTAGCTGGCACCTGCTTGCTGGTGCCAGGCCCCAGCGGGCACGCTCCAGCCATGGGGGGCTTTGGGTTGGGCATCAGGCTGGCTTCCACCACTTATTTGCTATGTGACTTGTGGGAGTTACTTAGCCTCTCTGTGCTGTCTCTCGTTCCCTTACCTGTAAATGCAGAGTCCTTGGCACCTGTCTTTATATCAGCCTAAGCCGCTAGCACAGTGCCTGGCCCGCAGTAAACGCTGACAGCTGGCAGCTCGCAGTGCCGTGCCATGTGGTACGCCACTGTGCCCACCCCTTCCTTGTTGTGGATGAGCCACCTGGAGTGCTGAGGTTGAGCATCTCGTCCGGGGCCGCATGGCTAGTAAGGGGCCGAGCCGGGGTTCCTGGCATGTCCATTCGGCTCTTCCCCAGGCCCCTGCCGCTCTGCCTGCCTGTTTGAGCTCGTGCCGGGTTACGGCTGGGGACACAGACGGGTCAGATGCTAACAGTAATGCTGTTTGGTTGAAGAGAAGGGAGGCCCCCCACCGTCATCTGGGGGTGCTCCAGTCCTGTGGCCTTGGAGGTGGCCCAGGTCCTTGGCTTTCTCTGGTCCTCAGGCCCCTGGGGCACTGCGCCTGCCCCTCCCCCCTTCCTTCAGCACTTTGTTCCATCGTTTCTGAAGAAACTTCATACGGTGGGCTCTGCACGTGATGGTGTCACAGTCAGCAGCAGCAGCCTTTCCCTTGTGGCACATAAAGTAGCGTGCTGCTTACAGCCGCTGGCGTCTCGGACTTCGGCAGATGTGGCAGTTCGTTTGCTCCCAGGCAGCACAGTCTGAGGGACTCCGATGGTCGCTGTCCGGTGCTGGCGCTTTCATTCGTGTGGACACGTGTTTTTTGTGCGCACAGAGTTGTGTGTGGATGGGGTCCTTCACGTTTTACACAGCATGTGGCTGCTTAGCATGGGGTCGTGGGGTCCGGGCACCAGCCTGGAAGGGCCCCTGAACCCCGTGGAACTCCATGCAGCCCCTGGCATTTGTCACTTTTCTGAGGAGAGACTTCATAACTTCCAGCAGCTTCTCAGAGAATTCTAGCAGGAAACGCCCAGCACCTCCGTGCTCGTGGGGGCCCTTCCCGCAGAGCCATCTTGGGGGGAGCCCCAGTCATCCCATCCATTTTTCTGGGGAGCAGTCACGTATGACCTCTGGGGTGGGATCCATGGTGCTGACATCAGCCAGTACACACATCCCGGGGCCCCCGGGCCAAGCAGTGTGGGGAACCCGGAGGTGAGTCGAGTCACGATAGTGATGCTCACTCAGCGCACACAGCATGCGTTCCAAGTGCCTGAGGCACAGTGACCCGTGGCACCCCACAGCGACCCTTTGAGACGCGCACGTGTTAGCCCCGTGCACAGTTGAGGACCGAGGCACAGGCAGCTCTGAGGGAGGAGGCAGAGCCAGGACGCGAAGCCAGGCCCCTGGCCCAGAGCCGCTGCCTCTCCAGTTGCTCAGGGGGCTGATCAGAGCTGGGACAGAGGGTCGCTGGGGCTTCCAGGACCTGGTGGGGGGAGCCCGGTCCCGTCAGATGGGATGTGATGGCTGTCACGGAAGACCTCCTGGAAGAGGAGGCGGCTGCTCTGGTGCCTGACAAGTTATGAGGAACGGAAAACGACTCTTGTGACATTGTTCGTCCCACACACATGAGCAAGGACTGTGACCCATGGGGACTGGAGGTGCATCACCCAAGCCCAGGGCCCCTGCGGTGCTGACCCGGAATTGATTTTTCGGGGACCCATGTGGCCGTAGTGCCAGGATTTTTTCTGTAGCAGCAGCTCTCCTCCCGAGAGCAGATGGGGTAGGAGGTCGCGCCAACCGCCTCCCCGACACCCACCCTTCGCAGGGCGGCCCGTCGCAGCGGGTCCCCAGTGTGCCAAAGCATCGCTGGGCGTTCCCTGAACGTGTGCTTTCCTGGGCCCCGCCCCAGAGCCCGCTTCTTCAGGTGCGTGCCTGGGGAACCCCGCCCCAGGTGAGCCTCCTGTGGGCCAGCTGGCCGCCACACTGAGCCCCTGGGACGCAGACCCGTGGGCAACGTGCTCAGGCTGGTCCCCAGGCTGTTGTAATGACAGATTAACATAAGCCCCACTTACGGTCAGAGTGCCCCCTGTGTGCCAGTCCCTGTAGAGCCCGGTGACACCACAGCCCCGTGAGCCAATCCTGAGCCCAAAACCCTAGGACGGCAGGACGCTGTGACGCAGCCTCACACCGGGGTCCCTGGGCCAGCAGAGCACGACCTTTTCCTCCTGAGTCATCGCCTGCCTTCCATAAATGAGATTTTACAAACTTTTGTTTTTATTTGTTTTTAATTTTTGTTTTGTGGTAAAAGATACGTAGAGTTTACCATCTCAGCCGTTGCGAAGCGCAGTTCTGTGGCGTGAGTACACGTGCGTGGTGGTGCGGCCATCGCCGCCGTCCATTTCCAGGCTTTGCCATTTTCCCCAACTGAAACCATCCCCATCAAACAGCAGCCCCAGCCCGTCACCGCGGCCCCTGCCCGACTCAGTGCCGCCCTTCCCCCTTCTGTCCCTGAATCCGATCGCCCTGGGTACCTCGTGCAGGAATCACACGACATGTGTCTTTTGTGATGGGCTTATTTCACTTAGCGTATGTCTTCAAGGTCCGTCCGTGTGTAGCGCGGGTAGAAGGACACTTTTTACATAAAAAATCTGGCCTTTTGGCCACTTTCGGAAAACCAGGTTGGCTCTTTACCAGCTGTGTTGCCCCGTGGTGACATTTGATCAGCTGGCAGGCAGCCGTGCTCCCTAGGCTACATGCCAGAGTCTCTGCCTCTTTGTTGTCCCCACCCGTCACCTTTGCTCAGTGCTTCCTTCTGCCACCTGCCCGGGCCCTGGCAGCATTTCCCTTTGTGGTTTCTTCTCCCCGTCGGGCCGGGCTGGACGGCAGAGCGCAGCGTCCCCTCCGCTGTCTGACTGGGCTGCGTCAGAGCGGGTCTGTCCCTTCCTTGGGCCAGTGGTTACCGGGTCCCTGCTCTGTGCTGGGAGCTCTGCTGGGCTCTGGGGACATGACGGTGAGCCCATCGGGTGTCCCTCCGGGCTCCCCCACCAACGCGAGTGCCTGATGCAGTTGCCTGTCAGAAACCACTGCTGCGCTTTCCATCCCCTGGAGGCCCTGGGCCCGGTGGCCTATTTAGATCCTGGCGTGTGGCTCTTGCTGTCCTAGGCGAGTGGCTTAGCCCGCCTGTGCCTCAGCTCCCTCTTTAAAGTGAAGACGGGGACGGGACCTGCTTCATAGGAGTCAGGCACGTACACCCCCCCACACCCTGGAGCGGTGCCGCGCAGCGGCCCTGCTTAGAACACAGTAGACGTTCCAGTTAGTGCCAGTGGTGGTCGTCGTACTTGGCGAAGCTAGTGGCAGCTGTGGCTCTCTCCTCAGAAAGTGACACGTATGATGCTGAGGTTCGCAGAGCCACAGCACTGATGTAAACGAGGTTCATGGTGGCTCTTCGGGGGAGGCACGCTGGATGGGGTGTTCAGAGGCTTCTCGGAGGAAATGAGCCCGCGGGACGAGGCGGGGTGGGGGCTCCGGGACTGGCGGGGGGGAGCCGTCCGGTCACCTCGTCTCTCTGCCACAGCCGCCCCTGGAGTCGCTGGCCACGGTGGAGGAGACGGTGGTGCGGGACAAGGCGGTGGAGTCCTTGCGGGCCATCTCGCACGAGCACTCGCCCTCCGACCTGGAGGCCCACTTCGTGCCGCTGGTGAAGCGGCTGGCGGGCGGCGACTGGTTCACCTCCCGCACCTCGGCCTGCGGCCTCTTCTCCGTCTGCTACCCCCGCGTGTCCAGCGCCGTGAAGGCCGAGCTCCGACAGTGAGTCCGGCCCCTGGCCCTGGGCAGCTCAGCTTGGCCCTTTCCCTCGCGCCTCAGCCCCCTCAGGCCTCCCCAGGTCCCGAACACCCTGAGCTCTCCCGCACCCGGCCCCCTTCCGACCCCTTGGGGAGGCCGTGTCACCGAGGGCCTGGTCTCTGATCCAGGTGCTGCCTCCTGCTCATCTGGGAAATAGAGATAATAGTTCCTTCTCCCGTTGGTCGCTGTGAGATTTAAGAGAATCACCACATCCAAACGTGTCGAGCAGAACCTGGTGCGTAAAAGCACTCGACACGTGATGCGGGTGCTGTCTTTGGCCTGCCCCGGTCCGGAGCCAACTCTCGGGTCGGCCTCCTCCCCGCTCTGCCCCCACGGTGCGATGCCCCAGGGAGTTCTCGTGTGCGAGACTTGCCTCCCGGAAGAATGGATGAGAATGTTTTAATTGGATTACAGTTTCCCCTGAGCGTGTATTTCCTGCCCTCCCTCTGGGCGTCCATCCACCCGCCAGCTCCACCGCCTGCCGAGAAGCAGGCCCAGGCCCAGGCCCTCGCCCACCCGGAGGGCCGGTCCCTAGCTGCCCCCGCGTGCCCACCCCTGCGCTCAGCCCCCTGCGTCTGCAGCCGGAGCATCACTGCTGCTGAGAAGTAAAAGCTTTGGCCCCAGCGCAGCGGTTTCATGGGGTCGTTAGGACATGAGCAGCGCCCAGTGACCCTGTGGGGAAGGCGCTGTCACTCAGCTCCGTTGTAGGGCTAGGAAGACGCAGGCGGGCGGCGTCCCTTGTCCAGAGCAAAGCCAGCGCCTGCGCAGCTGCAGAGCCTGTGCTGCTCCTCCCCGCCACGCCGCCTGCTGCCCCGGGGTCCCAGGGGTCCTGCCTCCTGAGCCACATCCCGGCCCCCAGGTACTTCCGGAACCTGTGCTCAGATGACACCCCCATGGTGCGGCGGGCCGCAGCCTCCAAGCTGGGGGAGTTCGCCAAGGTGCTGGAGCTGGACAACGTCAAGAGCGAGATCATCCCCATGTTCTCCAACCTGGCCTCTGACGAGCAGGTGGGTCCGGTGTCCGCCCCTCCGTCGGGCGGGCCCCGCCTTGGAAGGAGCCCGGCGCTGACGGGGCGTCTGCTGCCCGGTCCCCCCGCAGGACTCGGTGCGGCTGCTGGCGGTGGAGGCGTGCGTGAACATCGCCCAGCTGCTGCCGCAGGAGGACCTGGAGGCCCTGGTGATGCCCACCCTGCGCCAGGCCGCTGAGGACAAGTCCTGGCGCGTGCGGTACATGGTGGCCGACAAGTTCACGGAGGTGAGTGGACCGGGGCCTTCCAAGGGGCGGGGGCCGGGACATCGTCGGGCGTTTGCGCAGTGGGAGCTTGGCGGTCGCCCTCCAGGGCCCCGCTGCACACGCTAGCTCTGCTCGGTGACGGGGGCAGCTCGGGGCGGTGTCCAGGAGGGTTCTGAGGTCCAGTTCCATGGGAGAGGGCGCCACAGCAGACAAGGGTTGCTCGGGAACCCTAACCTAATCCGACTGCCCTCAGATGAGGTACGACGGGGCGCCCGAGGGTGCTGGGGCCGCCCTAGCAAAGCGCCGCGTGCTGGGCATCCTTATTTCTCACAGTTCTGGAGGCCCTGGGTCCGAGACCTGGGCAGCAGCCCGGGTCCCCTCTCCTTGGCCGGCAGATGGCTGTCCCTTCCCCGAGTCCTCACGTGGTCCTCCCTCTGCGTGTCTGTGTCCTCATCTCCTCTTGTAAGGGCTGCAGTCACTTTGGACTGAGTCCACCCCGTGACCTCTCTGCGCTTTATTCACCCCGTTAAAGACCCTGCGTGCAGATAGTCACATTCTGAGAGGCACTGGGGGGTCACGACCTCAACACAGAATCTTGGGTGTGGGGCACGATTTAGGCCATATTCCTGCCCAGAAGTTTGACAGGCCAGGGTGACAGTACCAGGCAGTCAGAACAGGGACAAGATCCACGTCGCTGACCCCCAGGGCAGTGCTTTGTCCACGGGGACGTGTTTGTGGAGCACCAGCTCTTCCTTGGGTGCTGGGGATGCCGTGGATTTGGCACGTGCCCAGCGTGCAAGGAACAGGTGGCCTGCGGGATGGTAGGTACACAGAGGTGAATTAATGGTCCGGTGCCCCCGTGGGGCATAGCCGTGTGGAGGAGAGGAGGTGTCGCTAGAGCTGCTTCTAGAAGATGAGCAGCTGAGAGCCGGAATGGGAACCAGGATCTCGCAGAGGAGCCTGGGAGCGGGGCGCGAGCGCAGGCAGGAGCCTCACAGCTGGCTCTCGGGGGCCTGGGAGGTAGACAGCTGGGGAGACGGGCAGGTCCAGTCGGAGCTCTCGGCGCCACTCTGCCCTGCGGCCCCCTTCTCCTGTGATAAGGCTTATTTT